GGCCATGAAGTAGATAATGATGACGAACATTGTGATCTTCGGAATACCAGTCGGGAAATCTGCGGCAAGATGGGCGATAGTGAGAGCCGAGGGACGATAGAACGCAAATCCGTGGCTTTGTCTGAAGAGGATTGGGCGGCCTCCCATCTGAGTCGGCAATTCCGCAAAGGCGCTGAGGGATCCGAAGAGCAGCGTGATGAAGATGACACCACCGCGAGTGAAGGCGCCAGCCGCGTTGACCTCGATCTGGTAGAATAGAGAACCAATGACCAATGCGAGAATGAGTGAGGTGATGTAGGCAATGACAAGATCTCTTCTATCGTTGAGGATCATTAGGACTTGTCTGATCCAGAGGGCCTTGACCTGTTGCAGATAGTTGACAGTGTATCGACTCTTCTTGCCGACACCATGGTTCTTGTCTTCCATCACGGCTTGGCGGAACTCCTCGGCTGCGCTAGAGTCCTTCTCGAGCTCAGACTTGTACGTGTCCTTGTCCGCGATGACCTTCCGGTAGATGTCGCTTGCTTGATAAGCCGCCTCAAGCGCCTCGGGCGTCGAGGGGACATTGGACGCGTCACGGCCGTCGGCAAAGACACGAACGTACTTGTCGGTGCAGCCAGCGACGTAGTCAGCACTGGTTTGGCGGGGAAGGTCCTTATAGCCCAGGCTCCAGAAGTACGGTCTGCATTGCTCCCTGGGTCCGTAGTAGACGCAGCGACCTTCAGTGATGACCATCACGTTGTTGAATTGCTCGTAGATGCCCTCGCCCGCTTGGTAGAGAGAGACGAAAGTGGAAAGGCCAAGAACGTCGGTGAGAATGCGGAGACTCTTGGCGAGGTCCAGAGCACTACTGGCATCGAGACCGCGGCTAGGCCCGTCCCAAGACAAAACGGCAGCACGCGTGCAGAGCATCTCCGCGACCGAGACTCGCTTACGTTCACCGCCAGACACACCCCGGACGTAGGCGTCACCGACTTTTGTGTCGCGTGTATGCCTGATGTTGAGCATGCTGAGCAGCATGTTGACGACTTTTTCCCTAAACTCCTTCTTCGACTCGCCAGGGAGCAAGCGACCGGGGGACTTGAGTCTGAGTGCAGTCTCGAGGGTCTCGCCGACGGTGAGAGTGGGGAAATGCCTGTCATCTTCTTCATTGTAGACGATTTCGCCTGGATACCTCTTGGTGAAGAGCTTGGCGGGCATGCCCCCGTAGGTGACCTCGCCGTTGACGCCAATGTAACCACCGCGTTCGTTGGCTATGGTCTTGAGGAAGGTGGAGCATCCAGAGCCCGGTCGACCGAGCACGAGGGTCATCTCGCCTGGACGCATTGAGCCATTGAA